GGATTTTCGGCGTTTCTGGCTTCAGGCAGCCTGTTTCTGGCCTTTGGCATTGGAAAAACGGTTCAGGATGAGTAACCGGGCAATGGGGTGAGATTCCCCAGGGGCCCGCGTCACGTATATCTATCGCCGTCGTCTTTGCGCTAGATATTGTTGCACATTGGCAGTCGTATCCAGTTGCGCTGCCGCGCGAATCCGTCACGTTTGAGAGGGCGCCTGGGGGAGGGGGAGTGGCTAGGGGTGGCGCCCTGGCCATGAGGGTTCATGCCCGAGCATCTGAGGTCGGTGCCGTCTTTTGCTAGGAAGGCAGAACGCGCACTTAGTTGGTGAAACACGTGAAGCCATGTTGGGCGCGATGCGTTGGGGGCGTTAACCTGTTTGCCTGCGTAGAATTTATCAGACACAAAGATGACCAACACGTGCATGAACCTCTGCAAGGGCGGTGGCGGACAATGTGAATGTTACGCGGCATTTACGCTGATGGATGGCAGGCCATTTTCAGAGTCATGCTCCCGCTGGAGACGTCACTGCTTCATCGAAGGCGGCGCCGCCACCCGCTTCTTGGAACTACTTTTGTGAACAATCATTGGGCCACAGTCGTGCCAAGCTGTTGGGTCATGTGTTTCCCCAGCTGTTCGGAAAACCCTTTGAGGACTATTCGGGGGATGAGACGGTCGAGCCAGATATGTATACGTACATGATAATGGTGATGATGATACTGGTGCTGATGCTGATGATGTTGATGATGATTATTGTGCTGATGAGGTAATCAGGATGGGCATTGGGATTTTGATGGTGGTGGTGATGATGGTGGTGAAGATGATGATGGCGATGATGAACGGATGCGGACGACGATGGCGATGATGCTGCTGCTGCTGACGATGATGTCGATGATGATGCTGCTGCTGACGATGATGCGCTGAGGACGATGACGATGACGATGACGATGAAGACGATGATAATGATGATGATGATGATGATGATGATGATGATGATGATGATGATGATGATGATGATGATGATGCTGATAATGCTGAGTATGATGCTGCTGACGATCTCATAACGATGGCGATTGCCATGATGATGGTGATGATGATGCTGATGATGATGCTGCTGATGATGACGATGGTGGTGACGCTAATGCTGCTGATGCTGATGATGAGTTTGATGCTGCTTGATGGTGATGGTACTGGTGACGGTGAGGGTGATGGTGATAAGGCTTATAACGATGATGCTGATGATGCTGATGATGACGATGCTACTACTGCTGATGGTAAGTATGATGATGCTGATGCCGATGCTGCTGTTGATGATGATGATGATGCTGATGCAGATGCTGATGCTGATGGTGATGCTGATGATGATGATGATGCCGATGATGAGGATGATGCCGATAATGGCGCCGATGCTGATGTTGAGGCTACTAGGGATGCTGATGTTGATGCTGTTGCTGACGATGGCGATGATGGTGGTGATGATGGTGGTGGTGAACATGCGGATGATGATAATTATGCTGATGATGATGGTGATGATGATGATGATGATGCTGAGGTGGAGAAGGAGAGAGAGGATGATCAGGAGGACGCGGCGGGAGAGTACGATGAGGACGCTGCTGACGATGATGATCATGCTGATGCTGAAACTGTTGTCGATGCTGATGATGTTGATGATGCTGGTGCTGATGATGATGCTGATGATGATGATGATGATGGTGATTCTGATGATACTACTGACGATGCCGATGATGAGGATGACGATGGTCCTGATGATGATGTTACCGATGCTAATGATCATGATGCTGCTGACGCTGCTGATGCTGATGATGCTGATGCTGGTGAGGATGCTGATGCTGATGATGATGAGGAATATGATGCGGCTGCTGATGCTGATGATGATGCTGATGATACTGATGATGCTGATGCTGATGCTGGTACTGATACTGATGAGGCTGTTGCTGATGAGGTAGATGATGCAGATGATGATGGTGATGATGATGATGATGCTGATGATGATGATGACGATGCCGCTGATGATAATGTTGATGCTGCTGATGCTGATGTTGATGATGATGATGCTGATGATGATGCTGATGCTGACGAGGATGATGCTGATACTGATGCTGAGGATGAAGACGATGACGATGACGATGATGATGATGATGATGATGATGATGATGATGATGATGAGGCTGATGATGATGATGATGATGATGATGATGATGGTGATGATGATGATGATGATTATGATGATGATGATGATGATGATGATGATGATGATGATGATGATGATGATGATGACAATGATCATCATGACAACGATGCTGATGCTGATGATGCTGATGCTGATGGTGCTGATGGTGATGGTGATTATGAATTGAGGAGGAGGGGGAGTAGTTTGAGGAGGAGGAGGAGGAGGACGGGGGAGGAGGGGGCGGAGGGGGAGGAGGAGGAGGAGGATTAGGAGGAGGATGAGGAGGAGTGGGAAGAGGAGGAAGGAGCGGTCG